TGTAAGCAGTAGAGTAGCCTTAGTGCTACGATCTGCTGAGATTAAGCCCTTGTCCTAAAGATTTGTTTTTCCTGTTCGCGTAATTGGCAAGTTTTAGGAAATAATTATATTGAATGTATATTAATCGCTCAGCTAATTTATTATTATCATGTTTAAAATTGCATTCATAGGATGATAATATATATAGCATTCTTATTACCTTTTTTTTTTTTACTTCTAGTGATCGGTCGCCCGAATATCCTGACTGCGGCTAGCATTCTTATTACTTTCTAATTGTAATTATATGTATCAATTTTTTTTGTATTACTTCTAATATAAAAAATTATAAATTGTTAATATTGTGTTAATAAATATAATAAATCAAATAAACTTTTAAAAATTTTATACTCTAATAAATTAACTTTTTTTATTTTATTAAAAAGACAAAGTGTAATAGTTTTTTTTTAATTATAGTAAATATAAACTTTAAAAGTAAAAAAGTACATAATTCTTTTAATTTATTTTATTTAAAATATAGTGTATATATATACAGTATATTAATTACTTTATTAATTAAAAGTAATCAAAGGATTCGGTGCTTATGTCATGTTTAAGTAACATAATCCAATCAAAGCTTTTAACGATAAAAATTAACCACTGTTTAAATATTTCGACAATCCGGAAACTTCGCTGATTTGTTCGATCATATAACCCTTTGATGATTCTTTAGATAATAAAGGTCCAACGCTCATTTCCTCCCACGAATTCCAAAGTTTTTCTATTCGTGTATTAAAAGCGTTACCCATACCGATACAAAATATTGCATCATAACCTCCGGCTAATGATTTAATAAAAAGATGGTGGTCTAAGTAATCTTAAACATAAATAAATAAGCATGTGCAAAGTGATCGTTTATTTACCTCCAGGAACACCGGCCATGATTAAACCAGGAATTTCATTACAGGCATCAAGCAATTTCGTTTGTTTAGGTGGTTCAATTGGTACTTGCGATAGTTCGGACATTTCACGTAATAATCCTCGAATTTTCTAATAAAATAAAATTAAAAAGTTAATTCGCGATTCCAAATACAAAATTATATAACATTTAATATGTAACATTTTACCTGAAATGTAATGAAGATGGAAGAAAAAAGAGCAATAATAGTATTATTCGGATTTTGTACACCAAGTAAAGTCCACTAGAATAATTGAAATGTTATAAACTTGATTTTTTAATATATTAGGTAAAGTTCATATATTCTGTATAATTTACCTCCGAAGCTTTTACATTTTCGCAAATCTTAATAGCCATATTATATAATTCTTTATTCTTTTGATAGTTCTTATTTAATTCTTTTAAATAATTTGAAATAGCTGTATTATGTTGTGCAATTGTATCCCATAATGCATTTGCTTTTTTTTAAAAAAAAAATGAAATCAAATAAAGTTACAAAATGCACCTAAAATAAAAAAAGGAATAAAAAAAATTTTTTACTTTAATAAAGAAAGTATCTCTAACCCTGATCAGCATTTTCTTTATGCCATTTCAATACTCTTCCGACCATACTTGGTGTATGAGAACCTGCATCTATATCGGCTAATACTAACGTAAATTCAGGTGGAAGGGAGAATTTTGTTGTTTGATTATCCCATCTATAATATATTTAAATTAGTTTTTTTTTCCTTTTTTTTTTAAAAAAAAAAGAACAAAATCATAATTTTACTTACACATTTGAAGCTGGATCAACAATGTTATTAAGAGCTGATAGATTAACCTTTTGATTCTAAGTATAAGTTATTTATTAAAAAGAATCTTTTATAATTTAAAAATTTAATAAATTCACTTAAATAACATACCATAACATCATCTAAAATGCTTGGAGAAAATCTTTTATATATATGACTTCCCCAAACAGCGGCAGATACATCAAAGCCACTACCAACTTTCCCTTGCGCCAAACAATGGCAAAATTGTGCCACATTATGAATTAATCCTCTATCATCTGTTTTATTTGATACTATTTCAAAATGAACAAAAAGCGCTGCCACAAGTGATGTAATCAATGCTGCTGAAGAACCTAATCCGGTTTTATGAACTTCTTTTAAATTGCAATGTACTTTACAAAATGGTTCAAGAGAATTTAGTGATGAGGATGTAAGTGGTAAATTTCTTTTACTTAGCTTTTTTTTTACAGAGGGCGAAAGAAAAAATTATTATCTGGCCAATATAATGATGTGAATAAAATGAAGAAAGTTCTACCTGTTCGCGTTGCGAATAAAAATCATTACTACCAACAATATAAATATCTAATCCTTTAGCAAATATTTCTTGAAATTTGTGTTTATTTATTCTATGTAAAATAATTGATAAAGAATACTTTATGGCAATTT